GGGAGAAGAGGGGAGGGGAGGAAGGGGAAGTATAACCTTGGCTTTACTGGGAGATAAAAGAAACCGGCCTACTCACAAGCTGACCTGGGGTCTGTTGTCTGTCTTCTTAGGCCCCAGCCAAGGCAGCTTCTGTGTATGACTGTCTCAGGCCCTGTGACTAAGTCTCCCATTCTCATCCTCCAAGGAAAAGCACCTGGGTACACAATGGTTACAGTGTTCAAATTTTATAGTTCCTCTTTTTCTCTCATTGTCCCAAACGGTTGGCAGGAAACACATCTTTTATTACTTCTTTTCCTGTTATTTCGACAGGAAACGGGAGTTTTGTGAGGCCAGCATGCAGACAGCTGGGTTGCGTGAGGCTGAGCACATCCCAGAAGGGCCATGGCTTTAGATCTGTTCTTCCTGGAAACTGCTGCTCGGGCTTCCACTCGGCCTGCGCATCCTCACGTGAGAGCTGTCCCAACGAAGGCACCAAGTCAGCTGTCAGGGCTAAAGGGCTGAGCAGAGGGGCAGTGGCCGGGAGGGCCGCAGCACCCACAGGGGTCTAGCCTGGGCAAGCCCTTCCTGTTGGCTTGGAGAACTAGGAAATTAGTAAATTGTGGGTCTAGGGGTGTGTGCGTGGTCAGCATGCATGTGGCCCTGGGTTCACTCTCCAGAATTGTAAAACGAAACAAAAATCTGTAGAACAATATCACAAACAAAATACTGAGACTGCTAGTCCACACAGAGCAGCATCACCACCATCACAGAACCCTCACACTGCGCTTTCACGGCCACGCCCATTGCCATCCCCTCCCGCCGCCTCCTTACCTATTGTAACCATTAGTTTGGTTGTTGGTTTTAGGGGGATGTGTTGTTGTTGTTGTTGTTGTTGGTGGTGGTGGTGGTGGTGTGTGTGTGTCATGAAAATGAGTGTGCAGATGGACCCATGTGGTACTGCAGGCCGTTAGGTTTCCTGGCCCGCACTCTCGACCTGAGTGCCTTGACACAAAGTCTTGCTGACCCAGAGCTCACCATTTGGCTAGACCGGCAGGCCAGCAGGCTCTCAGGATCCACTCATCTCCGGGCCCGACGCTGGGGTTATAGGCTCCCATAGCCGTGCCTGGCCATTTACACGGGTGCTGGGCATCTAAACTCTTACTTCCCGGGCCATCTTCCCAATTCCATGAATCTGTTTTTGTTAATTTTATTTCAAGAATTTTTTTCCAAAGATTTATTTATTTATTATGTATACAGCATGTATAACTGCAGGCCAGAAGAGGGCACCAGATCTCATTACAGATGGTTGTGAGCCACCATGTGGTTGCTGGGAATTGAACTCAGGACCTCTGGAAGAGCAGTCAGTGCTCTTAACCTCTGAGCCATCTCTCCAGGCCCCTATTTCAAGAATTTATATATTACCAAAAAAAAAAAAAAAAAAAAAAAAAAAAGAATGCTATTAAATAGAACAATACAGAAAAGAACCTTTGGGTACCTTTTATACTTAGAAGAACACTTAGTTTAGCCTTTACCTCCCAAAGGGCATCTGGGTTCCCAGCCTGAAAGGCCGCTCCTTCTCAGGGATCCTGTCACAGGTGGCTATTAACTGCTAGCTATGATTTATATAAAAATACTTGAAGAGGTCATGGTGATGTGTGCTGCTGTATTGCCCAATTCAATTAACATCTCTTCTTAATTTACTACTAAATCCTCCTTTGTCCTTATGTTTCAAGAAGCATCTTGAAATTTCTTCACTAAGAAAACCTGGGGTTGATGAGATGGCTCAGTGGATTAAGGCGCTTGCTGCACAGCATGGCGACTGAGTTCAGTCTCCAGGACCCACAAGCTAGAAGAAGAGAACCGACTCTCATAAGTTGTTCTCTGACCTCCACACATAAGCTGTGGTGTAAGCTCCCTCCAAAGCCCCCAGAATAAATGTAAGTTTTTAAAAAACACAGGGAAAGATCTAGCTCAAGATTTCCAATCCCTTGGGCACACCTTCACCTAATGTTTAAAAATTTAGACTTAGATTTACTCTGCCTTGTTAGGGTGGGAGAAGGTCGGCTATACAGGGTGAGTGTGCGGGATGGTGAGGAGGACGGGGCCGAGTGTGCGGGATGGTGAGGAGGATGGGGCCGAGGTTGGTGAGTGTGCGGGATGGTGAGGACAGAGCTGAGTGTGCGGGATGGTGAGGAGGATGGGGCCGAGGTTGGTGAGTGTGCGGGATGGTGAGGAGGACAGGGCTGAGTGTGCGGGATGGTGAGGAGGACGGGGCCAAGGTTGGTGAATGTGCGGGATGGTGAGGCAGACTGGATTTGTCACCATAGAACAGACTCCCGTTGGAGGGTCTGAAGCACCACCACACGGTCTTTTGTGTTTCCAACAGTAGCTGGTAGTGTTCTGTGCATAATTTTGTTTTATAATTTTCTATGCACAGTGGGATATCTAATCCCGCTTTGGGTCTGAGCTGTTGTATATTCATACTATCTTTAATTACTTTCAGTATTTTTTTTTACAGCTTAATTGAATTTTAATCTTATTTAATTCTCTTGGGGGAGGATTTCTTGAGATAGAGTTTCTCTTTGTAACAGCTTTGGTGGTCCTGGAACTCCCTCTGTAGACCAGGCTGGCCTCAATCTCACAGAGATTCACTTCTCCTGCCTCCCAAGTGCTGGGATTAAAGGCGTGCACTACCACCGTTCAGTTTAAATTTGTTTTTAAACATACTTTACAGTGAGTTATGGGGAGTGGGAGTGTTATTCATTGGGGTTAGTCATGTGGCTGTAGTGGCCGGAATGGCATTTACCAACTATAAATACTGTTGTTGTTTTAATTAAACAGGTATTATTGTATCTGAGTGCATGTGCGCACACACATGCACACGATGTGGTGGACACGTGGAGGACCGCTCTGGCTTGGCTCCCTCCTTCCATCTTGTGTAGTTTTGGGCATCCGTCAGCCTGCACAGCAAACACCCTTATCAGCTGAGCCATCTTGTGTGGGACCCACAGAGACCCAGCTTGTGGCTTGTTTTCATCTTGACTCAAGGTCAGAGAGTCAAACTTGTTCCCCCACCTCGCCAAGGCTGCATAATAGGATGTTTTGCCATAAAGCATGGTTACCAGATGTCTTAAGTACTAAGGAGGTGTTTACACTTGACTGTACTTTGTACCTTGAACTGTGATGTCCTTCAAAGGGGGAGGTCTTTTTATCCCCCTCGCTTCGGGTGTATAAAGGTTGTGAGTAATAAACTCAGGCGTCTGTGATATTGGCCCAGAGCCCTCCCTAAGCTATCCTGTGTCTGTCTTTTCTTTGTCTACGTCTATATTTCATAGCTATCATTTTTCAACTCCATACTCCCCTCCTTCAGAACCCTTCCATAGGTCGAACATGACTCCACAATCTTACTGGAGCATATGGTTTGATTTTTTTATCACTGTTGTACCCTGGGCTGTGGTGAAGCATTTTGAGGTATGTGTTAGAAAGACTGATGCCTGAACCTCTGATCCCTTAAGAATCATGATGTAGAACCCTCAAGATGACTCAGCAGACAGAGGTGTTTGCCACTCAGCCTGAGGACCCGAACTCCATCCCCAGGACCCACAGGATGGAAGGAGAGAATGCATGCCCTCAGGTTTCCTTTGATTTCCACTCTAGCGTGAATGAACACACACGAGAGAAATAGAGAAAGGAGTCAATATGCATAAATGTTTAAAAAGAATTAGGAGCCAGGGGCTGGTGAGATAGCTCAGCGGTCAAAGGCACTTTCCCCCAAGCCTGATTATTGATGTAACTAACCGTCTTATTAAATAAGAAACACAGAAACAATGTAAAGGAGAAAGCCGAGAGGTCAGAGCTCAGAGCTAAAATCTCACCCTTCCGCCTGCAGTGTCCCAGCTTCCCGAAAGAGAGCTACTTCCTGTCTGTAAATCGATTTTCCAGTCATTCTACCTTCTCATTGGTTGTAAACCCAAACACGTGACTGCCTTGTCACTGTCTGAATGTACAGCCCCCTAGGTCTTAAAGGTATATGTCTCCAATGCTGGCTATATCCCTGAACACACAGAGATCTATGGGATTAAAGGCGTGTGC